TCCACATATACAAATATATAACTATATACAACCACACTTTAATTTACAAGTATTTTTAAATTAAATTAATTTGAAAATACTTGTAAATTATGGCATTTTATTTGCTAAACATAAAATTATAAAAAATTTCATTTCCACTATATCCTCATAAAAGTTCATTACATGGAATTCATTAATTCATTTATTTCTATGTTACACACTCTTCCAGTGATATAGAAAAGCATTGAATACACAAAATCTAGAGAGCAACATTGCATTTTACACACACACATATATATATATATATATATACCGGACTCTCCCATCATATTCGACATATGAAGGTCAAGCAGCTCAGTTCCCAGGAACTGATAGCCCAGACACCAGCATATATGATTTGATTATAGTGGTGAAGGCTTTGTACAGAACCAACCACACTTTTTGAAAGGCCGAATACAGAGGCCTGGTGCACTATATGCCACAAGGTCCCCAAACAACTCTCCACAGAGTTGTCCTTCTAGACAAGTCACCATCCAAGGCTATAAAACCCAGTCTACCCTGCTATTTACCCATAGCTGGAGGGAGAAGAAAAGGATTAATACCTTTCCCAAGGGTATTAGCGCGTAAGTGAATCTAATGTATTTGACTGGAATTCGAACTCGGTTCTCCAATTCCTCAATCCAACTTGCTATCCTCTACTCCACCATGCCTCCATAAGTGGATTTGACATCTGAGAACGCTTCATCCAGACAGGCTTAATCACAAATTTAACAACATAGAATTAATATATAACCTCACAAATTAGGATCTACCACATATCCCACCCACACAAGACACATACTTGCAGAGATGTTGAGGCCTCACACTTATACTCACACACATACTAATATATACACTTACATCATACTCACTCATTCCCTAATGAGCTAAATGATAACACACATCCATACTAATATACACACTTACATGCATCATACTCACTCACTCCCTAAGTACCAAATAACACACACACTTAACAGAGATGCATTCCCTTTCCAGGAACCAATAAAACTGTCAAAATGACTAAAGGAATTCAGAGCAGCATGAATCCATCCAGCTCTTATCTTAAATAACAACTTAAACCAACACAAGGACTGACCAAAATTAATGTTAAAAAAATAAAAAAACAAATGAAAACTACAGATGAAGTACATTTTCTCCATCAAGTCATTTATTTCTGTAGTTCACTGCTACTAACAATCAGAAAAGTTTTTTCTCCTGATGATGGCCATGTTGGCCGAAACTAATCGAGGAATCTAACTGGAACAATAAAAACAAAAAAATATTAACATACAACCCAGTGTGTTTGAAGATTATAATTTTTTAATATTTCTTATTGTTCAAGACATATATATATATATATATATATATATATATATATATTTTAATTTTACTGACCCAAGTTGAACATTTAATAATCACTACCAGTTTGTAGATTACAATTTTGAGAAGCACTGATTTTGATATTAATTCAAACCTGTTTCTAAAGATATCAGCAAGCCAAACTGAAAACCTTGAAAAACTAATCATCACGGTCTCTATGTGACTTTATCATTGCTTTAGTTAAAATAATGTCGGATGTTTATATTTTAAACATTCATCTCTCTTAAGTTCACAGAATCTATAAAATATATGCTATATTTAACAGAACATATGTTTTTACTAAGTCAGACACTCAACCATGAAATCACTGCTTGCCATCTTTGATGCACAGTAGGCAATGAAAAACATTAAATATTTCCTGTAATGATTGAACTTAGAATATTTAGTGACTCTTCTCCAAGCAAGTTATCTTGATGTTTGCATGAGTTGAGGTTTATCCTATTGACCTGATTTATTTGTAAGCTTTCATTTCATTGGTCAATTTTGAATACTTTAATTTTAATTATACAAGCTGCAAATATTTGTATTAAAAAGATCTAAGTATTTCATTACCCAGATAATTAACTCTGAAGTGTTTTGTGCTAAAATTCCAGCATTCATAAACAGGAATGAAAGCCAAAATTTATGAAATGCTATTTTAAGATATGTTAGAAAAAACATTTTCAATATTATTATTTTATTATTAGTTTTACTCCAACTTATTGTTGCTTTTCAGATGAAGCATATTCACTATTATTATTTTACGATGTTTTACTTCATCTTGTTATTATTGCTTTTTACATTAAATATTTTCAATATTATTGTTTTATTATTAGTTTTACACCAACTTATTGTTGCTTTTCAGATGAAGCATATTCACTATTATTATTTTACGATGTTTTACTTCATCTTGTTATTATTGCTTTTTACATTAAATATTTTCAATATTATTGTTTTATTATTAGTTTTACTCCATGTTATTATTGTTGCCTTTTAGATTAAATATTTTTGTCATATAGGCATAGTGTCACTGCCGACACTTGGGTTTGAACATGAATTGCCAGAGAGCAAGCACAGTCGACCTCATCTTGAAATAATTAGATCATGTGATGGGTAAATGAAGAATATATATATGGGAATTAGCAGCATCTGACCGAGTATTGTCTGAAGGCGTTACTATTATTGTAACTGTGATTTACTAAGTCTCTCCTACAAATGGGCATTACAAAAATTTTCACTATTATTATTTTATTATTAGTTTTGCTCTATTTTAGAATTGTTTCTTTTTCAATGAAGTAATTTCCCTATTATTATTATTTCATTACTACCTTTACTATATCTTATTATTGTTGCTTTTTATATTAAACATTATCACTATTCTTATTATCATCTTTACTCTATAGTGATATGGAGCTTAGGGGTTAAAATGAATAGTTGATTTACCCACACCAAGAAGATTAATGGTAAGGTTTTCATTGGTCCAAAAACAATTTCAAATATGCTCACAAATTTCTTTCCTTCTTCTTCTTCCTTAGTCCTCCAAATTTGAAGGTGAAGGGAGTTATTATTATTTTGTACTCACTATAACTCCATCTTATTAATATTTCTTTCTATATTAAACATTAACACTATTATTTTATGATTAATTTTATTCTGGCTTATTTTTTTTTAAGTATTTTCACAATTATTATTTTATCAGTTTTATTCTCTCTTGTCACTTTTTAGCTGACACATTTCATCATTTTATAAAAATGACTTAAAGCAAATGAAGCCTACAAGTCTTAGTAAGTAAGACATGGACTGGTGCTACAAAATCATAAATACTTTTTTTTTTCTTTTTTTTTTAAGCGTTTCACCCCAAAAAAGGCGAGAAGCCACTAGGACGCAAGGGGGTTGCAGAAAATTTGGAGCAAGATCAGATAGGAGTGATAGAAGAAAGGATGAGGAGAAGGGTAGTGGATAGATCAAGGCAACTGGAGATGTAGATTAACATTACATTTGAATAGCTGGAGATTATAGCTCTCAGGGAAAATGGAATAAGGAAGGGAGTTCCACAGGTGAGAGGTGCGAGACATTTATTTGAATTGACTGTGTTACTTAGAATGATTAGTTCACTACTTATTTTATAATTTATCTAAAACAGTAAATTGGTTAGTAGATTACTAAAATGAAATGTTTTTCAAACCTTATAAAAGTGGGTTGATAACATTAAATTGAATGTCAAAAACTTGGAATAATCCAAATTTATTATTATTTATTATGAATTTAAAATTTTTAAATTTATTATAAATAAATACAAATTATTTATAAGATTTATTATACATATTTTGTTGAGTGTTATTGCAAACATTACTTTCCTTGGCCTGCCTAACTTCTTTTTCTTCTAGCCAACAAGGAGAGCTTTCACTCTTGCTACACTCTCATCTTTTGGTGTTTTCTTGTAAATAATGCCAATAGCTGCCATGTGAAGACAATGGTGATTTTTCAAATCAAATCAATTTTTTTCTTTTATTAAAGTTATCTTTAATTGATAAAGGGTTGCAAAAATATAAAAACAATTTTAGTAGCTTCCTATAAAAAGGCACTGTCAATTATGTACAGCTGATTTGTTTAAATAATGCACCGAATATTGCACTGAATATTGTAAGTAAAATGACAGACTAAAATAAGTAACCAAGTAACTGGTTTAATAATAATAAGAAGAAAACAAACGCTATAAAAATAAAGAAATACTTGGAACTTCAATAGGAGATGCAAAGTGAATATTCATAGCCAACTTTACACTTTGATAATTCATGGAAAGAACTCTTGAATATGCTACAACATTCCAGTCCTAGGAATTTAATACTTTTCACATATAAGGATGCTGGCATTATCTTATCTTTTATGAGATAAGAAACTGTTTTTTTTTATTTTTATGATGTAATACACAGAGAGTCAGAAAACATTTTAGTGTCTGTTTTTTCACTTTCTCTAATATCCAATGTTTCATCTTAAATATAAACTGATTAAGGTTAATAAACTCTTAAGATAAATGAACCAAATAAATACTGATATAAACTAATTATATTCAAATTTAGACCAGAGGTCTTTTAATGAAATCTTTTCTTTTCAGTCAATTTGAATATTGTTATGTTAGGTATTCTCTCTGACAGATGTAGTCTTATCAAGAGAAGATAACTCTCCCATAGTTATATCAATACTGCCTTTTATACAGTAACTCATTTACATATCACTACACCTCCCTGAATCTAAGAGGCTTTATAACTTTAGTTTATCTTTGACTTTTACAAACAACCCTGGGAGATCTGTCTATATCTCTGAGATGAGTTATTATGATTACTTACATTATTTAGACTGTCATCCTCATCTTTATTGCCATATTCACAACGTTTCAGCAGTTGTACACTCTGGCCTTCTTCAGGTGATTGGAATTCTAATCACCTGAAGAAGGCCAGAGTGTACAAATTTGAAACGTTGTGAATATGGCAATAAAGATGAGGATAGTCCGAAAAAAATATAAAAAACCCAGAAGATATAATCTGTCTCTCAGAATGAGTCTCTTTATTTCTTTTTATAGGAGATTTTGGTCTTAACTGATTCTCCTCATTTGTATCATCATGATATCTCTGGTCACTCTCATCCCCAGATTGTTCCTCATTACTACTGGATATGCTCATTCTCTCCTCCCTCTCCTGTTCTTCACTTTCATATCTCTGGTGGTAATCCTGATCACTCTCAATACTGGATTCATTCATCTTTTTTGTGTTGTTCATTCTTCAGCTTCTTCTCCCTCCTCCTTTTCCATAACTATATGCTCTCTTGGGGTTCTAAATTGGTCTTCATGAGCCAGTATGCCCCATCCTTTCTTTGTTAACCCAGCTGTGTTAAATCCTGTTTGCACCACAAAATTCACCTTTTCAGGATTTGAATCCTTGTCCTTTTTGTACCACACACTTTCATTCATTGCAGCTCTTGTCTTCCCATCAATGCCAATGGGCTTTGTCTTCTCCCTGCATGCAGAATAGCTCTATAACTTAGGAGTAGTCTGGGTAAATAATGCTATATATCCTTATCCACTGGAGAGAATGCTTTTAATCCCATTTTTATCACTTAAACCATTCTCTCCACAATTCCATTTGACTGTAGGTGGTAAGATTGTGTTTTGTATGGAATACAGTCAATACGTTTTAACTATGCACATAAACTTTTCACAAAACTCAGGTGTGTTGTCAGAGATCAAGTGTTGTATCCTTAAAGAGGTTACAAACAAACAAAGGTGGTACTCAAATGAAAGGAACAGCAATACATGCATAGATGAAAGAAAGAGAGGTTTATTGTAAAAGAGAATACACTACTGAAAGACAGGGAATCAAGTAGCAGGCTAGTAATTCCTGAAGCAAGTTTGCCAGGTATATCTTGTGCTTACTATATATATATCTACTGATATATTCAGTCCACATAGGCGATAGGGAGCATGGGACATTCCATTACAACACCTGAGCTAATTTTTTTCCCATTAAATTTTGCTCAATACCTCTTCTTTTTTTGGGTCAGGACATAATTGTTTGACTTTTTCCCTCTTCCTAGTACTTTTCCATCTCACCAGCACAAAATCAAGTTTTTTGGAACTCCATTTCTCAAAAACATTATCTTCAATACTTGCTTCATAGTAGTGGCTTTTCTATCTGCAACTTTAATAACTTCAGGCTAACTTGATCATAAGTTGACTAATATCAGAAATAGTCCTATACTTTTAATGCAGGCATGATCCATATGTACTCATGTCCACAGCTCCATTCCTTTTGGTCAAGAGTGAATTTTAGTTTGCCTAAATTTCTTTATTTCTGCACACTTTGGGTATTTTTAACATACTCTTCCATGTCTCAAATGCTTGCTACTTTAACCTCATTTGTATAATCAATATACCTCCATGTATATAATCATGCATGGTTTTAATTACTTCTTTACTCAGAGACTGTGGAGGTACTATGATATCTCCATTATATATAATTCCTTTTTCTATTGTTAATTTGTGTCTTGACTCTTTATACATCCTCTCAGCCAGACAGCAATTACTTGTTTGTTTATGAGTGCTTTTTTTAATTTCTTGAAAGCAACCTCCTGTCTTTTTGTCCATTGAAACTTGGTATTCTTCTTCCTTATCTCAATAAATGGTTCGCAAGGTCACTATATCATGGTAGATATCTGTTATACAAATTGGTTAATCCTAAAAAAAATTCTAACTCTTTTTAATTTCTGGGTGCAGCTATCTCTGATATCTTATTAATGAGTTTATCATCCAGTGATATACCATTTTTGGATATTTGATATCTTGTGTATGAAATTTTTTCACAATTAAACTCGCATTTACCACAATTAATTGTCATACCCACACTATTTAATTTTCTCAAAACTTGCTCCGTTTTATTTTGAGCTCTTTTTTACAGTGTGCACCAATGCCAATGTCATCCTGATATACAATTATATTTTTAATCCCCACTAAAACTTTTTTGGTGGCTTTTTTTTCAAAATGTGACGACATTTTAACTCCAAATGGCAGCAGAGTCCATCTTATTAATCCAATAGCGATGTTCATTGTGGTGACTTCTTGAAACTTGCTATCAACTTTTATCTGATTATATGCTAATTTAAGTTCAACTTTAGCAAAGTATTTCATACCAGCAAACTTATGGTACACTGTTTCAATGTTTGGCAATGGGAATGAATCCAAACATATCTGGTGATTCACGCCCACCTTATAATCACCACAAATTCTTAAATCTCTATTGGGCTTGTGTATCACCACAATGGGTGAAGCCCAATTTCTACCACCTTGGCTAATTTCTAATATTCCTTCTTCCACCATTTTGATCAGCTTAGCAACCACCAATGGTAGCATGTGAACAGAAATTTTTCAGGTTTGAAAATACATGGGTTGACTGCTTTCTTTCAGTCAAATACTTGCCTTGTATTCCTTTAATAATCCAATATCCGGTTCTACCAACTTCATGGAATTTACTAGCTTTGATGTATCCACTCTTAACACATCAATTTTTTGTCTCAAACATTCCCTCAAAGCATCCTAAAATTTTGATGATTGACCCATCGAACTGTTTCAACTGGAGATTACTTTTCTTTAATATTATTCTACCGATTCTTTCCCAAAAATTCCTCAGTATCAACATAACATCTATTCCAATATCTACCTGCATGAGTAAAGTTACTCTGTTGAACTTCACTATTTGCTGACTTTTCTTCTGTGCTTTTATCTCAAATACTTCCATACTTTCAACTGGAGGATCTATATTTTCCACTCACTTTCCATATGTGCATACTGTCTGGAAATCATTCCTCTTTTTTCACTGAAAACACCATTTCCCAAAGGCTGGGGACATATTTTTGCTCTTTTCATGTTCCTTATTGCAATATCTGCATACAAGTAAGCTTTTAGTAGCACTGTAAGTCTCCATGCTGCCTTTAGAGGCATTAAATTTTTGAATCAATTCAAATTGTTGTAACAACCCAACAAATGCTTCCAGATTCATATTATGAGCTTGAAGCTGCTCTAGAATTTTACAATTGTACAAGATGTCAAATATTCCTTCAATCAATCTTAGCAAAATTAGCTTGTCTTTGATAGACATTTGTTCCAAACCCATTCTTTCAAACTCACAATATCTTAATGCTTCTTTCAATTGCTGTACATTGCATAATAGTTTCATCTGGTTTCTGTCTACGTTCGAGAAATTTAGTTCTTTCTGCTATGACCAATCTTTATTTTAGTAATATATTTGCTTTTATGATGGCAGCAATTTCTTGATAGGCTAAATCTTCCAACATTTTGGGATAGACCATGACGGAGATTTTGTTTATAGTCTCACATCCTCCACTAGCTTTGGTGTACTTTAACTTTTTTACCCTTGCCGATGCTGTAAAACACCTAAGCCAGGTTTCTACATACTAACAATCATCCACCATGGTTAAGTAGCCAATTGGCAACATCATATTGTTATGCTAGGTATTCTCTCTGACAATATGATTGTAGGTATAGCGATACTGCCTTTTACACAGTACCTTATTTACATATCACTAAAAATAGTGTTCAGAATCTGTCCCATAATTACCTCAACTGGGTTCTGCAAATATTACACCCACACATGTTCCCTTCTAATGAAAAGATTATCATGTCAAGTTAATTTTCTTATCAGCAAGTAAGTTTTATCTCCCAAGTTTTGCTGCCAATGTTATCTTTAGGTGTCTTTGGAAATGGACATATGACTATCAACTGAAATGAACTTCATGTCCTCATTTCCTCAAGAACTGGCAAAAAAAGGATGTCTGGGAAATCAGCTACTCACTGGCTTTATACCATAAATGTCAAGAAATACAAAAATGATTATTATTCTTAGCTCACTTTTATATTGAAATACATATATATATATATATATGTGTGTGTGTATATTATGTATATAATCATTTCACCTCCAAGCAAGAAAATAAAGCTACTAAGACGTAAGAGGTTAAAAAAAATATATGTGTGTGTGTCTGTGTGTGTTTGTGTAGTTACAATAAGTTTGTCTTTGTAATTTACCCCTGAAAATAATCTTGGAAAAGATCGAAAGTACTTGGGTTAGAAAAAACTACAGCACCTTCCTTATTGAATTTCATCTTAACATCAAGAAACTGATTAGACAACTGGAAAGGATCAGTATAAATATATGTAAGTATATATCATTCAATGAAACATGTTTGAATGAACACTACCTAAATATATATATGTGTGTGTGTGTGTGCGTGAGTATGTGTGTGTAAATATATATATATATATATATATATATATATATATATATATATATATATATATATTATAGTAAAAAAAGAAAGAACAGTAAGATATATAATCCGGTGTTCTTATTAAGTTATTCCAAAATTCGCTTGAAGTTGAAACAAAACTAATGCTTTTAATTTAATTATATAATTGAATTTGAAGTTTTTAGTTTCTGTTTTTGAAACATGGTAATTCCTGTGTAGCTATGGAACCATATTTTTAAATCAGTTAATTTTTAATATATATATATATATATATATAAATAAATAAAGGACTAATTTTATAATTTCAATGTAAATTTTATAAATACATAAAACCTCGAATAATATTCAAACATTAAAGGATTAATTTTGTAAATTCTCTGCAAAGTCCATTTGAAACAGAAGATGTGAACATTGAACTTGCATGATTAAATACAATCCTCAGGCATGAAAATTGCATTTATGTATGAAACAGACTGTTACCACTGGGTGTTGACCTCAATGTCCACTTTTATATTTGTATACGCTCTGTCCCTGATATTGAGTACTTTAAACCATAAATATTGCATACCTTAAAACTAAATTTTTTATTATATATACATATATATATATATATTATATATATATATATATATATATATATATATATATATATAAATACATATATCAATCAAATAACTCCAAAGTATTTTAGGTCTGCTGCTGGTGAGGGATAATATGTATATTTATTAATATATATTAAATAGCTCTGTTATATTACACTGAGCCCTATTTTATTAATACCAGCACTCAATGTGTGATATCTTATATTCATATGAATTCATGTTAAAATGTAGGCATAAAAACAAATTCAAATTTCCATAATATAGGTTTAACTTAATTAGCTACCATATTTCTATAATATTCACTC